GGAAGTAAGTAACTTCCGGGAACGGCGAAGCCCCCCCCGCGCACGCGCGCCCCCGCACACCCGCGCCCGCTCCTTACCCGGTTTTTTTGAATTTCGCGCTTTCCACGCATGCGCAGAACGCCTGCGCGATCCTCCAGGAGCAGCTGGAGCATCGCGCAGACGCTAATGCGCATGCGTGCACCGCGTGCGTGCACACACGCGCCGCGTGCGTGAGGACACCGCGTGCGTGCGCGAGGACGCCGCCGGCCTCGTTCCAACCGATCCGGTTGGAACGGGGCGAGAAACCCACCCCTGGTTGGATGAGAAAAGAAGCATTAGCCCTGAAGTGGGACAGCTGAAGAAGGCAAGGGAGTTCTTTACCCAGTTTTGGTTTCATAAATCCGTTGGTTATCCCAAGGTTATCGGCTGCCACAGTCTCCCCATTCACGACTCTGAGGATGGTGAACTCAGAAGCCAGGGTGTGAGTGACAAAGGCCAGGTCCCTCTCGCGTACCTGAGGAGAAAAAAAAAATTAAAATCTCCTGAGGGGAACGAACATCATGTCAACTTTCAGGAATTTAACTCTTCCTCAATGGAATCAATTGATCTGGCATAGGAGCTGGGAGTTCTTATAGATCACAAACATTTGTACTTTGTGTGTGAAAGCTACCACCAAACTGGGCCATGTTTGTATTCCAGGTTTATTGCCCTGTTCCTATCTTTTTTTTTAAAATTATCATGGGTGGGTTGACATAAGATGCTCAACTCTTAGCTCTTCTTTAAGAGTTGCTGCCTTCACACAGTATGTATGCTATGTCTGAATAATTACAAATATTGAACTATGCCTCTTCTTTGGGTCTCTTGCAATGTTTGACTGACCAGGTAAGACTTCTAAACTATTGATGAACTATTCTGCATTGAAGTAAGCGTTCAGCATTCTGAACTTCACAAATGACAATTAAGTAGGCCTTTCTCTAAAGCACTTCACGTGCCTTATTCACAATTACTTAGCAACCAAACCTTTCCTGTCTTATTAAATTCCTTAAACCCGCTGTTCCAATTTTGCAATTGGTCAATGGATATTAAGCAAGAAATTGTTGAATACACATATGATCATTATTTATTTGTTTGTCTTGTCTTGTATGCCGCCCACTCCCGGAGGACTCCGGGCGGCTCACA